GCTTCCAGGACGAGGAGGAAGGTAAGCCCCCGCCAGGCCCTCGTGGGCCCCCGAGCCCGGGCTCGCCCCGCCGCCGCCGCGCCCCTTTCTCCGCCCCCGGCCTTCTGCTCGGCCTGGGGCAGTGTTCCCGCGCTGCCGCCACCCGAGGCGACGCCGGCCAGTGCGTGCCCCTTTCCGGGCTGTCAGATCCGCTCAGCCTCCGTGAGTGCAGGTGAAGAAGGCCCAGTGCTCCCCGGCCCGCCTCCTCCCTGCTTCGCGAGTTTCAGACGCCACGAGCCTCTCGCCGGCCTCCTGCCCCTATTGCTCTGCAGGCCTCTAGACCTGCGGCTGGTTCGCCCCTCGGTTTCGGCATCCTTGATCAAGAAGGTCGAGTTGTTAAAGACGTGGACCAAGCTGGGGCTGGGGACGGAGGTGGAGTCCAGCCCTGATTCCGAGTGACCTTGAGCCAATCAGTCCCCTGTCGTTAGTCTTGGTCTCTGGGTTGAAGTAAATGGGCGGAGCAGATGGCCGCGCTAGCCCTGGCTCTTGGAGCAGAAGAGAAATCAGTCCGCAGGGGGCTTACATTTCTGAGTGTTAATTTTCCCTGCACCCCAATATCATGTTATGAAAAATGAGATGAGTTTTGAGTCATGACTCTGAAATACTTCCGTGTTTTTAGAAAGATGCAATGCTTGTCTTTGGCCTTCCTGCTGTTCTGTTTGAACCGGAGGTGCAGGCCGACTTTGATGGTAAATCGGCGGTTTGGTGAAGTTTTTGTTTTTGACTTGAATTTTCAAATAAAAAGTTAGGAATAAATGACTCAAAATCAGTTTTGCGAAATGGTATACTTAGGCATATTCTTGAAATAACTCGTTGTGATAAGAGCTACTTAGACTCTGGAGAACCTTGTAATTTGGAGTATATTATTTCAGCTTTTTTGATTTAATATTTTAAGGAAACATTCTGAATTTTTCTCTGACTGGGATAGATGAAATAAGCCAAAAATTAACAGATTTTTGTGAAGTTCCTCGGGCTACCCATTAAAGTTTTCAAATTTTCATTTAGTTTCTGGGAGTGATGCCAGTTTTTTGTTTTTGATTTTTTTTTTTTTTTGAGATGGGGTCTCTTTATAGTTCTGGCTGCCCTGGAACTCACATTGTAGACCATGCTGGCCTTCAACTCAGAGATCTCTCTGCCTCTGCCTCCCCACAGCTGGGATTAAAGGCATGCACCACCAAGATTGGCAGTATCCATTTTGGAGGCTATGATAGATTGAAATAAATTTTAAATGCCTTAGTGATTTTTGCATGTGAAAATGTATTTGGGAGAACTCAAGCGTGTGAAAATATGGGGAAGGGAAAACATTTTCTGAGTTTGTTTGCTTCAGACTTCATTTCATTTCTTTTTTAAGAAAACGAAGAAGTTTTTAAAGTAAAGAAGTCAAGTTACAGCAAAAAGATAGTTAAATTGCTTAAGAAAGAGTACAAAGAAGATCTTGAAAAATCAAAGATCAAGACAGAACTCAGCACAGCAGTTGACAGTAAGTACTGAATAATCGTCTCTTTTCCACAGTGCTTTGCAGTCTGCATGGCGAGTGTGTCCTGCTGCCCAGTGTCTCCGTGAAGTTGCAGTGCTGTTCTGTCTCTGGTTTCACACCCTTTGTTAAGTAGACTATTGGCTCCTGTATCCTTGCTAGTGTAGAGGCTGCTGTATGGAGAAGGGAGAAAGATTTCCCGTGTCAGCCCTAGAGACGGCCTTAACTCAAAGTTCCTGTACTGCTATTTTACAGAGACAACCTTTGAATTCCTTTGGTAGCATTTCCACTGTAGATGTAACTCTGACAGGACTTTCACGAATCCCGTAGGGTAATGTGCAATACCAGCTCTCAGCAGCTATGTCTGACACAAGACCAGGTACTTTGTCCTCTCGACACCCCAGTTGGAATCTGCTTTCCCTCACCTTCCCATCCTTTCTTGCTGGAGGCAGACATTCTACCAATAAGCCTGGCCCAAAGCTTAAATAAAATGCTTCAAGCAGTTCTTTTGTATGGTTGTGTGTAGTCATTATAATCTAAGTTACTCTTGTGCAGATGCTTCAGAGAAATCTTTATTCTGTACAATTAGAGGAAGTGTTTCCTATGTTCTCAGCTACAGGTATGCCATGAATAAGAATATGTCAGATGTACAGTGGAGTTGTGGAGACAATGTAATGTAGCATGAATGCAATATTATCCAGCAGAAGTATTAGCAAAGTGAATCGGCTAAAAAATAATTGTCCTATGTTTCGGGAAGGACAGGGAGCTGGGTAGTTAGTGACTAGAGTTCCCCAGCTAGAAGAGAGGATCTGAGTACCAGCAAGGATGGAGAGCAAGTCCATTCGACGAGTAAGTAGTTTGGGGTCTGTGTGTGAAGGCCGCGCTGTTGGCGCATGGCAAAGGGTAACTGAAGTGCAGTAAGGGTGTGGAGCTGTGGTTGGTAGCCACGATACGACACTGTGGTAGCCTGAGAAAGCTTACCAGGCTTCACCTGAGGAGAGACTGAGGCCTGGAACAGTTGGGACTCAGTGGCCAGCTCTGACCCATCCCATAGTGCCGCTAGTAAGTTGACTAAATGATACTACTTTGCCTGGCTCTGGGAAATTGGTAGTGGGTTCAAAGTGGTCGCTGTTGCTGGATGGTGGTGGGGGCTCACACCTTTAATCCCAGCACTTAGGAGACAGAGGCAGGTGGATCTCTAAGTTCGAGGCTAGCCTGGTCTATAGAGTGAGTTCCAGTACAGCCAGGGCTACACAGAGAAACCTTGTCTTAGAAAATCAAAACCAAAAAACAAACAAAAAAGTAGTGGCTGCTGTGGGTGTGGGAGATGTGGCTTATTTGAGAACTATTCCTAGGGAAAATAGGTATACTTTCTGTATGCTTTTGCTGTTAGAAGAAGCACCCAAAATAAAGTGAGAACTGTTGTAGGTTATGTTCTGGTACAGGGAAGGCGGTTGAGGAGAGTATTTTTAGGAGAACTTCCTATTCTCACGTCTTGGAAACTGCTGCATGTTCCCCCGTAGTTGTTGAGAGCCGTCATGTGTGGTGGAGTCGTGCTCAGAGGGTCACAGAGTGGAAAATAAGGAAGGCCTGGCGGTGTGTTTACCACGTACTGTTGGTCTCAGAATTGAAGTAAATATGAAGTTTTTAATGCCATCTTTTGTGATCTTCGGTCTTCTACCCTCTCCAAGTTGTGAAACTTACTCATCGGGGAATTTAGTGTTCTCTTTGGAGGTAGAGTCTGTGCTGGGATGTGTCACATGCTATCACTGCTGTTACTGAGATGACAGTCCTGGAAGCTTTTGTTGACTCGTCATCTAGAACTCTGTTCCTCTAAGTACTTAGGTAGATAAAGATGAATTAACTTCAGACAATGGCAGCATGAACATAAGTCTTGGTTTTATAGTATTCAATGGAGTGTGTTCAGACGGGCTTTCACATTCTCCCGGCCCCAGCTGGCCTCAAACCTACATAGGCAAGGGTAACCTTGAGTTTTGTTCTTCTTGCTTCTCCTTTCAAACATGGGCCACAGTGCCCGGTTCATGCAGTCCTGGGGAGCAAACATAGGGCTTCCTGCACACAAATAATAACTGAGCCCTACCCTCAGCTTCATAGGTGGAGGCCTAAACTATGTTAATTTAGCATTGCTGGGGAGAGAGAATTGCTAAAAGGAAAACATAGCCTCTAACAAAAGTGCTGTCACCGTGCTTTGCCCTTGTAATATTTTCGGTCACAATCTAGTACAGATGAGCTTAGTGGACTCTTGAAATGCACAGAGATTCCCTGAAGACAAATTTTAACTGTGTTGTTTGGAGATGGTATCTACATTAACAAATTTTACTTGTTCAACTTTATTTGCCACTTATTTTTCTGCTCTCCCTACCTGAATTTGTCCATCATAGAACTCAATGTATATACATAAATTTGAAGTGTAGTACTGAAATAAAAAAAATACATAGGTGCATTTACTAAACCAGTTCTCCCCCCCATATATATGCATACACAAAAGCTGTATATATACTATAAATATAGTACCTTTTAGCTGAGAACCAACTGGGGTTTGTTTCCCCCTGTGCACCCATTAAGATGCCTGTTTTTAAAAAAAGAAAAGGGAAAACCCCTCAGGAAATAGCAAATGTTGATAATACAAAGAAAGTGGAATATTTATGCGCTGTTGGTGAGGAAGGTAAATAACATATATAGTTGATTTGATTTGAAAGTCCTTGGTCAGAATTAATGCTGGGATAGTTGCTGCCAGGAGCTAGACAGAGGAATATGAATAAAGTAGAAGATTAAGGAGTGCCACGTGTAACACCCGCTGAAAAGAAAACCAAGTTCCTGAAGTGGGATTTGTGTGCCCGTATTCATGGTATTCACAACAGAAGCACGTGGAACAGCAATCGTCCGCCGTGTGTGTGTGTGTGTGTGTGTATACATGCAGTGGGATACTGAAGCTTGGGAAACAAAGTCTGACACAGACTATCATTGAATAAATGTGGGGACAGTATACCAAAGCAACTAATTGCCAATGGATGCAGTGTGATTTCAGTTAAAGACCGAGCCTGCCAGTGGTGGCACACTCCTTTAATCCCAGCACTCTGAAGGTAGAAACAGGCAGATCTCTTGTGAGTTCGAGGCCAGCCTAGTCTACAAGAGCTAGCTATTTCCGGACAACCAGGGCTCTTACACAGAGAACCCTTGTCTAGAACCCCTCCCCCCCCCAAAAAAAGTCAAAGACCACTGTTAGAATGAAGGCTTCCAGGGACTAGACTATGCACGTAGACTGGTGTTGACTCTCACACAAGTGTGTACTTTCAGTTTAACAGTATGTGAAGAGTAATGGGAATGAGTATTAGTGATGGTTACACAGTGTCGTGAGTGTGCTTAATACTAAACTATTGAAATTTATACACTTTGAAAAGTATTTATACACTTTGAAAAGTATTTTTACACTTTGAAAAATCTTTTAAATTAAAATTATTTGGAATGTATGTGCAATGCATGCCACAAGGTGCATGTGGCGGTCAGAGGATAGCTTTCAGGAAGTCAGTTCTCTCCTTCCATATGAGTGGTGAGGATGAAACTCAGCTCATCAGGATCGAAGGACTCCTTTATCTGCTGAGCTATCTTCATATGGTATTTTCAAGTTCTGTACTATTTACCACAGTAATAAATCACTAAAGTGACACACAAATATTTACACATCCATAGAATCTTACATGATTTGAGTGCATCAGATCTGATTTTAGTCAGAGAAACCATTGGACTTGGAGGAGAAGGGAATAGACAAATCAGAGCTCAAGTTGGTTCGGTGGATAAAGGGGCTTGTTGCCAAGCGTGGCCAGCCTTAGTTCAGTCCCTAGAAACCCACAGTAGAAGGAAAACATTGACTCCTGCTGGTTGTCCCTGACCTCTGTATGTACACGGTGGAGCCATGTGCCCACACACATAAAAAATGAATATCAAAATAAATTTTTAAATAAAAGGTACTTTAACCATGTAATTGAAGTCTTGGGCCTCAGGCTGCACTTGGGTGAAGTGGCTAACAAGGTCCCGCAGCACACTGAAAACGGCGCGCTTCCAAGTCCGGAAGAGCAAGCTTGCAGAGTAAAGTGGTGCACTGCTCTTTAATCTGTGCCCATTACTCCTGGAATGAGCAGTATCAAGGTCAAAACAATGGGATTTTCTTGATTTTGCCTGGAACAAGTGGTAGAGATTATGTTAGTTCTAAGTATTAGAAACCAGGGCAGTTTATCACAAAGATGAAGCCGTTGTGGGAATGGAGTCTTAAATCAGCCTTCAGATTAGGCTGGAACTGGTAACTCCTGGACTCTGTCCATTCCATAGCTTCCCCCCTGCTTTCCATGTCATTATTCTTAGTGTCAATGTAGTTTCTAATTTGTTTCTGTTTCAATTCTGGGCTTTCGAAACTATCAAGTTTTCTATACTTTGTGGCATAGTCTTTAACATTGAGTTGTGACAGTTGGGTCAGGTTTGTACAGTGTAAGTGTAATTGTCGGGGTCTCTTCTAGACGTAAAAGTCATATTTATACAGTCACTCTTAACCATCAAAGACTTTGTTCTCAACAGAAAACTGTCTTGAATGGGTATTGTGTTCAGGGAGGAACCGGTGTAAAGTGGAAAATGGGATGAAGTGTGAGCAGGCACTGGAGGGAAGGCTCAGCAGCTAAGAGCTCTGACTGCTCTGCAGAGGCCCTGGGTTCAGTTTCTAGCACCTACATGGGGTGGCTGAAAACAGTGTATAACTTCATCTCTAGGGGATTCAAAGCCCCTGGCCTCTGAGGTCTCTTGCACCCATTTGTACATACCCACATCCACACACACACCTGCACATAAGAATAATAAAATTAAATTCTAAAACCATTGCCAGTGAGATTTTAGAGAAAGATACTTACAAATTTTGATAAATTTCTCAAAGAATTAACTAAAATGTATTGTATCCCTGTTTTCTCATATTGTATTACCCTTACCCACACGCCTACTGTGCTAGTTCATATTCATGCCTGAAGTTCTTAAGTACTAGAAATAATGTAAGTTTTAGTGGATTTGAGCTCATGATTTAATAAAAAGTGCCTTGATAGTTTATGAGCTTTTGTTTCCAATAAATTTCAATCTCTTTTTAAAATTTCAGATGAGCAGCCTCTGGACAAAGCGTGCCATGTTAAGGACGCAAACCAAGAAGACGGAGTTCTCGTCGGTGACCATGGTGAGGATGAGATGGACATGGAGAGCGAGAAGGAGGAGGAGAAGCCCAAGGCGGGGGGCGCCTTCTCAAATGCTTTGTCGTCTTTGAATGTTCTTCGTCCAGGTGTGTGTCAGCCCTCAGGATAACTACAGTAGGAGCAGAGTTAAGTAAACGTGTTTCTAATTAGAGCACCTTTTAAAGGCAGGCTCGCTCTTTGTAAATGTAGAAAATAAAACTGAAGTTCTCCAGTTTCTCCAAGTTTATTATTACTTAAAACATACTTTAAAAATTGTGTGTATATATGTGTATCTGTGTATGGGTCTGTTCGTGCTGAGTACAGACAGGCACCTGAGGAGGCCAGAGAGTGGTTGTTAGCCACCTGATGTGGGCACAGGACCCAAACTGGGGCTTCTGGCGAGCAGCCATCTCTCCAGCCCCTCCTCAAGGGCAACAAATGCATGAAACTTTTTTTTTCTCAGTTGGTTTCTTTTCCACCCCTCCATCAGAAAAGACTAACTCTTTTTATAACTTCTACAAAAGATATAACTAATTGCTATTACTTTAATAAATTGCAAAAATTTTGGAAATATAGAAAAAGACAAGATGTCCTGAGTAAATTGGGACCTTGGGGGAGGACTGAAGCGGGGAGGGGAGCAGAGAAAAATGTAGTGCTCATAAAAATCAGTTAAAAAAAAAAAACTTAAAAGGCCAAGAGGAGGTACAAAAGATTCTTTTATTACAAAGTCTTTTTCCCTCAAAGAAGTATGATTTCCCTTTATATCAAAATAAAAAAAATCCAGTTTTTTTTAATTTTGGAAATAATTTGCAAATCTGTACACTAGCTAATCAGTTTTTAAATTAGTGCTTTAAGCAGTCAAATGTAAATTGTGACGAATACCACTTGAGTTTATAAACTAAGATCCTCTGGGGCCTGGGGAAACTGACTGAGCCCGTTCACTATCTCATCAGTCGGACTGCATGTAGGCTTTAGGAAGAGGCACCAGGAGCAGTCAGAGTTAGTCTTTGTGCTGACAAGACTGACTTGGGTTTACTCTTTCTCTTTTTAAGAAAATAAGCTTCCTACCCAGGTACTGCTGTGTTTTACGTTTCTTGACCTTTGTTTCCAGGAGAAATTCCAGATGCAGCTTTCATACATGCTGCAAGAAAAAAGCGCCAGATGGCCCGGGAACTGGGAGATTTCACTCCTCATGATAATGAGCCTGGTAAAGGCCGCCTTGTCCGAGAGGATGAGAACGATGCCAGCGATGATGAGGATGATGACGAGAAACGCCGGATAGTTTTTTCTGTGAAAGAAAAGTCACAGAGACAGAAGATTGCCGAAGAAATAGGTAACTTGAAGAAATCTGATAGCAAGCGCTGCTTTGCCTTTAAACCTGGCGAGACTGTCACAGTTGCGTTTTAGCTTTCCTTGCCTTAGAGGATTGTTCTTGCTCGAGAATAAGTATGTTCTGTAGCTTATAATTTTTCAGCATTTCTTGGGTAACCAGTATTGTCTTAAGTGCTCGTCTGTAAATTTATATAATTCTTTTAAGTATTATTAAGCCGTTGGTTTTGTGCTTCCCTTTGTAGAGTTGCTGTTGAGTTTAAGAAACCAAAGATTGTAAGCATAACATTAAATACTGCTTTCCCTTTAAAGAAAGGTACCGTCATTGAAACAGACAGGGTCAGAAGTGTCAGATCAAAATGGATGTGTTAGCAAGATTAGCACTTGTGCCGAGTTCTTGTGAACGGGATAGGGATAGGATCTTTTCCTTCTTGCTGTTGGATGTTAATATCTTTTGTTACGGTTGCAGGTATTGAGGGGAGTGACGATGATGCTTTAGTAACTGGAGAACAAGACGAAGAGCTCAGCCGGTGGGAGCAGGAGCAGATTAGAAAAGGAATTAATATTCCTCAGGTAAGAAAACCTAGATTTTGAAAATGAAAAGGGAAGTAGATGGGAGGGTTTTGTTACTGTCGTTAAAGTGCAGTCAGTGAGCCTTTGCCACTATTTCAAATACATGGCGTGTCTTATGTATTCACACAACGCCGTTAGAATAAACTGCTTTAAATTCTCCCTTTGTATTAAGAATGGTGAACAAATGTCCAGTTTCTCTAACTGGTCCTCAGCAGCAGCATCTGGAAGCCCATTACAAAGGCAGTCTAGAGTCGAAAGGTGGGGATTGGGCCTGGCACTCATTTAGTAAGTTGTGACCAAAGTTTGAGAACGCTGCCTTGATCCAAATGTTGGGGTTTTTGTTGCTGTTGCTGCTGTTTTAATTCCAAAGACAGTTTTCCAGGTATGCAAACTAATGAGATGATTAAACATATTTTCCAAAGTAGTTCCAGTCACGTGTTCTGTAGCAGCATGGAGAGAGTTGCGTAGTGTGAGTGTTTTTAGTGGTAGTGTGGGGAGTGTTGAGAGCAGAGTATAGGGAAAGCCTTGGGCTAGTTGCAAGAGGCTTAATTGTAAACTCTGATTGCCTGTTTATTTTCTGAGCACAGACAGGCCACTTATCCTGATAAAATATTACCTGGATCATTCCATCTTTAAATTCTGGGAATATATTTTTCTGAAAATCGTTAGAAATAAAACCAGTGATTTTTATTAAAAACTAAGAATTTATACAACTCTGTATTCATTTGATTTTGAAGAATTCTACATTTACTTATTTTAATTTCTATTTGGGAACTGGGTATAACTTTTGCTTTTATTTTCCTTTTTTGGTTTTATTATAATGCTACAGACATTTTATATTTTAAGTTTAGTTGTGAGTTTTCTCCTTTCTTTTCAGGTTCAAGCAAGTCAGCCCACTGAAGTGAATATGTACTACCAGAACACTTACCAGACAATGCCTTACGGTGCATCCTATGGCATACCTTATAGTTACACAGCCTATGGATCATCAGATGCCAAGTCTCAAAAAACAGATAACACAGTCCCTTTCAAAACTCCCAGTAATGAGATGGCTCCCGTTACTATTGATTTGGTAAAGAAACAGCTTAAAGACAGGTAGGGCAGATCAACTTTTTAAAGACCTGTCCACTTGCTTTCTGGTCCCTCAGGCAACTTGTAGTCTGGGGTAGCCGACGCAGAGTGCCGGCAGAGAAGACCCTGGCCCACCTTCCAAAGCTGACAGAAGATGACTTCATGCTCTGCTCTGCTGCCCTCCTGGATTACTCCTGTGGAAGCCGCAAAGTTGTTAAAATGCCACTCCATGAGCTTGTTGAAGACAGTGCTGATTGCACCTCTTGGACTCTGGAAGTGTAGTCAAGAGATGGGGGGAGACACAGAGCAGGATACTTTGGGTAGCCCTCCAAAGAAGGATTTGAAGTCTGTAAACTGCCTTTTTAAATTTATTTTTTACAAGAAAAGCAGTACAGACGAAACCATTCCAAATATTTTTTTCTGTTCTAATAGTGGAACTAACATGCATTATAATATTGCAAGAGTCCCGAAAACAGTGAGGTCTAGATGTAAATGTGTTATATTTATCCTTTTGTGTTCTTAAGGTTGGACTCCATGAAAGAATTACACAAAACCAATCGACAGCAGCATGAGAAACACCTGCAAAGCCGAGTGGACTCCACCAGGGCTATTGAGAGATTAGAAGGGTCTTCTGGGGGTATTGGTGAACGGTATAAATTTTTGCAAGAAATGCGAGGGTATGTCCAAGACTTGCTTGAGTGTTTCAGTGAAAAGGTAAGAATGCAAAATTACTAATCTCTTTGAATAAGACAAAAATAGGGAAGCCTAAGTAGCTTTTCTTAGAGCATCTTGTAATTCTCAGAATAATGTGCTCACTCAGCCTTAGAAGTGTTTCATTTTTACTCCATTGGTTAAGGGCAACACAGTGCCTTGTACCAATATGTTAGATTATTGCTGGCCTGCAACGAATTGGTAGAATAAAAGGAGAATTCACCTAACAGTTCTTTGTTTTGGGTTCAGGCCTAAGTTATTTTTATTTTTTCTGTGATTGTAAACATTTGTAATTATTAGTAGTACATTACATGACAAGTTTAGTTTTGCATTTTTATACTAGATATTTTGGTGCTGTTTCTGCTAGTAATTTTCATCTAACTAAACCAATGCTTCATTCATTCCAGAAGCCATTCATTATCATAAGTTTTTATTCATTGAACATTGCTCATTTCTTCTGGATTCATTGCTTTAGCATGACAATTGATGCAATCTTTTGAATACACTTAAATAATGCATATCTAACTTCCCAAGTAAGTTCCTGTTCGTTTGTTCGTTTGTTTTTGAGATAAGTGTACTCCACACACGTCGTGTGGGCATGTGCAACAATAATTTAGAGGTTTTAAAGGGGGGAGGAAGAGTGGTAGCTCAGCGCCCTATGAACTGGAAGGAGGGAATCAACTCCATAGAGTCGTCCTCTCGCCTCCACACACACCGGCAAAGCATCCACATACGTCATGCATGCATACACAATAATAAAATTAATGCAAAAAATAGGGGTCTGGCTTGATGGATTGATTTATAATCATTCAAGCATTTCACCTTATCTTTGAAAAATATTAAATTCATGATCCTTAAATATTCTTTTTCAGAATCTCAGATAGGAAGGCACATTTTTCTTTATTGCTGATTAGATTTTCTCTAGGATCTCTAAGTATAAAGTATAGTTGGATGATTTTGTAAAATGTTTGCTCCACTACACAATAAACCAAGGGCTTTCAAAAGAGTAGTTAGACTTGTCTCTCTGGTGGATCTTACTGGTTCAGTTATGTGCATCAGGTCTGGGATGGTAGCATTCATCATGTCTTCTGTGGCACTTAGTTTGGTTTGCTGCAGTTTTGGAGAAGCACCTGCAGTATGATATTCCTTGTGGCAGGTCAGTTGTTTGGGGCCAGGCAGAAAGCACGAGCTCAGCTGTTTGCTCAGCAGGGATTGGGACAAGACTGGAAGTGGGACCTACATGCCAGAGCCAGCTAGAATAAGGACCGTTGCCTGAAACAATGCTGTGTGTGGGAGTCGTCTCTGGGACCTAAAACAGTGCTGTGAGGGGGTGGGGGGGTGTTGGTCTCTGGGACCTGCTCCTTATACTGTCTTGACTTTTGCTTCAGAGAACTTACACTTAGGCACTCAATTGCAAGCATAATGCTAACAATACGTAAAGTTAGATTATCATTCCTGGGTTAAGAAAAATTGGTAGGACATAGTGTCTGTTGCTCATTTATTAGTGTGTTTCCTCTCCTTGATTGCCATGGTTGCCATGTTCCTGGAGAAGTTGACTTAGTGCTAGGTGGCCATAGACTAACTTCAGTATTTTTGTAGCAGATCTGAAGCCTCGCATAGTGAATGTTTTCAGTAAAAGGAGCAGGTAGTCCGTACTTCAGAGACACCTACTACTTCCCTTTATTTTCACATCTTCACGTGCATTGGCTTCTGAATGAAATGCCGTCAGTTGTCATCCTTAGAATATTTGAAAATTCAAATTTAAAAATGGGGATAATTGGCTAGATATGAATGTGTGTTTAGTTATGTTGCATAAATATTCTTTCAGAGTAAGTTAAGCATTTCTTTTGTTCCTCTTTATAAAAGTCAGAGTGATTTTTAAACTTAAGTTATCTGCAAATCATTCTAACGTCCATACTTTAGCTTCCCCTCCAGTCGTCTTGTTGTGTTTTTCTCCTTAAATTTGCTTCTATATATAGTAATAATGATGACTTTTAGTTTGGAGAGGATAAAGAAATTGTGCAAACTCTTGAGCTAAGTCGATATTGTAAACTCTTTATGATGCCAGCGCAGGCTTGAGCTCTCCCAGTGGGAATGTCTTTAGTCCGACATGCCTGTGAAAAGGAGGTTGTATGAGTATAAATGAGAAGTCACAATGGTATGGCAGTGATTGGGGCATAATGTTTTAGGTTAGATAGTGACTTTAAACTACAGAACACTCATTGCCATTGCTGCCTCTAGTGTGGCATATTAGAGAACAAAGTGCCTCCATCAGTTTGACCTCTCTGTGAACATTTGCCACTTGCACAACAGGGTCATGCAAGAGTATAAAACTACTGTATTACAGACATCTTTGTATCCCACCCACCTTTTTTATTTACCATGTACAGTCTGTTTAGTTCAGGAAGATGCTTGGTGCCAGTGTTCCCAAACTCTATAGTGCGTTTTTCAATTGTACCAACCACCAGGAACTAGAATTTCTGGTTTGTTTGGTATGTGTGGTAGTCTTTAGTATTTTGTGAAAGTTTCAGGGCATTTGGTTGTTTTATAACGTATTTATAAAGAAAGATGTTCTGGCTTTTTAAATTTTAGATGCTATGTTCTGTAAGTCTGTTTCCATTTTTTTTAAATAAATTAGCTAAGTATTAGGCTGGAAAATTCTGTTGACTTTGAAAACTGGTAATTTGTGAAGATTTATTACAAAATAAATAAAACTTAAAACATTTGCTAGGAAGAGAGACATTTCAGAGTTTGATTTCAGACTGGTTAGTTATAGCTAGAAATTTTATTTACCTCTTTAGTTTGGTTTTAGGATGTACAGTAAAGCTGCAAACTAGCGTGATGTCATAGTGTCCTTGGTTTATGTAAGGAAATGGTAGATAAAGTCGTTGTAGCAGGTTTTGGCACAACAGAACAATCCTTTAAGCCAGAAAGTTTACCAAATGTGGTATGTGCCTGTAATGGCAGCATTCAGGAGGATAAAACAGGAGGGTGCTTGGGCCCATACTGAGTTCTAAACCAGCTGAAACTACATAGACTTCATCTTCAAAAATAAAAATAGAAAAAGAAACCTACAAAATTGCTATCTATGTAGTTCTTGTTGCTGGAAAACAAAATGTAAACTTAGAAGACTCCTAAATACACACATTTTCTCTGAAGATGAAGCACCCAAAGCTTTTCCTTATTCTGTTAACAGAAACGTTCCATTTCTTGAGTTCCCTTGCTGTGGTGACCGGGCACTGGACGTGTAGTTGTAAGAAGCGGTGCTCCCTCACTCAGTGCTGTGTTGTGCTGCGCTGCTCTTGGTGGGACTGATGCTTGTTTTGTCCATAGAGTACTTTTTCAGAAACCGGAAATAGCATGGAACCCTCAGATGAGTAACAGCCGAGGAGTTTGGTGTTACGGAGTGTGTTGTATTTTTACAGGTGCCACTGATTAATGAACTTGAATCAGCAATACATCAGCTGTACAAACAGCGAGCTTCCCGCCTTGTCCAAAGACGACAAGATGATATTAAAGATGAATCTTCGGAGTTTTCAAGCCATTCAAGTCAGTCCATCTTGAAGGTTTTTATTTTTCATTAAACAACCTTGTTTACTTAGTGCAGCCTAATTGAAAATTAGACCGTTTTCTTTTAAAGGGCTTCCTTGTCCATCAGTTAGGTAGATCAAAAGTTGTAACACATGGACTTGGATTATGTTTAAGAATCTGTATGACCTAACCAAGGAGCTGAAAAATGTACTAATATTCTCTCAGTCTATTCTTTCCTGGATGTTCTTTTCGGTCACCTGTAGAGCATAGCAAATACATAATCAGTATTTGTCTTAAACCACTGTCTCTTTGCCCTAATGAACAGCCCACCCCACCTCTAATTTCATTCTGCTCTTAACACTGATAAAAATGCTGGTTTTGATCACAGTAAGATGCTGAATTTAGGGACTTGGGAGTTCTGGGAGGAAGAGGAATGAGGAGGCTGTTGTGCGGCATGTGATAGCTTTAGGAGTAGAGGAGTAGGTGCTGGCCTTCTGGGTAAAGCAAACACTTTTGTATTTCTTTTTAAATGTGCTTTGTTTCTAGTTTGCTGCATATACGTATTGTATATTTTCCTATTTTAGTCAGCTAATGTCTACAATTCTACATTTTGGAAAATGTAGAAATTTAATTGCATTATGTATGACATGAATTACGAAAAAACCCAATTAATTGAAAACTTTAAAAAATTCCTATAGGTGAGATTCTTTAGCCAGATGCCCTGGAAAACGTTTTAATTCCGTTTTCCTCATTGCACTCCATATTCTTGGGTAGTCTGCTGGGACCTTCCCTGGTGTGGGTTCCTCGTGGTTTCTCTGTGCTAGCAAGTCTCTGTGTGCTACTTGACGTGCTCATTTAAAATGCAGGTCTTCTGGTTCTGTACCTGGAGATCCTTCCAGGTTCTTCCTGTCCAGAGATCTGCATGTTAAACAGCTGCTCTGAATGATTCATAAAAGAGCCTAGTGCTGTTTTTAGAACAATACACAGCCCATCCTCCCAGTCAGGCACTGGCTGCATGGGGAGCATCCTCCTGTGTGTCTGATGGGTGCTGGAGAGGCATAGAGAGCTCTAAGCTATAGTGGTTTTCAGATCTGACCCATGCAGATTCAGCTGCAACCCATTTGAATGGCTTTGGCCTAGTTTTGCTGTAAAAATTTAAATTACATCATTGACATTGGGCACCTAAATGACTAATGCGTCCCTCCCAGATTATTTTGATCCAGAGAGCCAGATTTCGGGGGCAGATTACAGGTAACCATTGTACATCTAAAGGAAATAATTTCCTCTAAGTTTATAGTGTGAACTATATATCATGTTCACTATCCTTGCTGTTTGTAATCTATTCTTCATACTACGAGGCTATTTGAAGTGAGTTCTATGATGCATGCTAATTAGACTGAAAAATGGAAAGTATTGCAAGGCAATGGAAAAGTAAAAGAAAAATCACTATTTTTGAGGGATATAATTGACAGATTTAAGGAAAATTACACGAGATATTAAGGAATCAATTCATTACCCATTTTAAAAAGAACAATATCAGGTTTATCTGTTTAGATTATAAGATCTTATCTGCAGTTACTTTATATAGTTTTGACAGAAATGAAGGAAGCCAAATCTTGAGTCTTTGGTTTCTCACCTAACCTGTAAGCTCTAGAGCGTATACCCCAGTGTCAGCTATTTTGAAGGAAGAATAAAAAACTCAGTTTGGAAAAGTCAACTGTTATAGTGAACTCTAGGATAGTTTGGAGATTTTATACAGAGCAGAATTTAGGGTTTCTTTTTTCATTGCTCATTTCAGTAGCAAAAATCTCCGTGGACAATCTGCATGAGCTTTAGATGATGCCATTCATTGTGTGTGTGTCTGTCTGCCCACCAATCCCTTGTTTTGTTTTGTTCTTCAATAACTATTCTGTATTTTCCAGAATTTCTTAAGTAGAAGTGAGGGAATTGCAGAAGACATTTTCCTTTCACCTCGTACTCTAAGCAAGTTTGTAGAGCCACTGACAAAGGACTGTCACTGTAGGAGTGACCTAGTGGAAGTCCTCTTAATTCTCACATAATGCACAGAGCTTCCACTTTGGCTTTGCTTTTGTAAAAAAGATTTGTTACTGTGTTTTAAATTATGTGGATTTGTGTGTGTGTGTGTGTGTGTGTGTGTGCGCGTGAATGCACTGAGTGCAGGTTCCCTTGGAGGTCAGAAACAGAACCCTATAGCTAAAGTTAGCAGGCTGTGGGTACTGAAACCCAAACTTGGGTCCTCTGCAAGAGCAATGTGCACTCTTGATTGCTCAGCCATCTTTTCCTCTCCACTCTTTCTATGTGAATAGGCACTACTGCCAGAAAGGCCAATGCTAGTAATGGACCAAAGAGACTGAGGAAACAGACATACTGTTTCAGTAGGGAACCTCAAAGCTAATTTATAGCTTCTGGGAGATAATCTATAGGGTGTCCCTCTTTTTAGATGTGGTGCTGGGGGTTGAATAGTGTTGCTACCTGCAGGCAAGCTGTCTACCAGCTGCTGTGTCCTTGGCCTAGGTAACAAAGGGTGGGTGCTGTGAAGGAAGGAACAGCCACTGTTTTGAAACTGGGATGATAACACTGGGACATAGATGTCCCAGGAGAGGGTTGGAAGCTAAAGGTAGGATGCTGCCATGGAGTTCTCGGGCTGGCCTATTTCTAAGAGGAATTACAAAGTGGCAAGGATTGCATGGTGTGAAAAGAGCACTGAGTGCGGCGTGTGCCTGCTCGAGTGCCAGTCTACGAGCAGTGTTAGCATCCGTGGGCTAAGACAGCATACATAAGTTAGTAAACCCCTGACTGCGAAGCGCTCACGTCCTTCTGCTGTTTCTCTGCTGTCATTGTCATCATTCAGTACCTTTCTTAAAAATACCATTTTTTTCTTTGCATGAAGAATATAATTTTTTGTTTGTTCATTGTAATAGGATAAGGTAGTCCTGTTATTTAGACAGAAATAGCGAGTTAGCCCAGCAATCATTGTTTTAATTCTTCTACTTTTTCTCATGGAAACTCAATAATTCCAAGATTTGTTCTATACTAAAAACCTATCTAGTTCTATATTTAAAACCTATCTAGTCATTGCAGAATCTTGCTGTTGGGATTAGCAAGCAGTCTTATAATGGCTTGATCTGTGCAAATTCTTTCCTCATGATTGTTGAAGGAAGACTGTTAATTTTAGCTGTTTGTTGTTTTCCAGATAAAGCTTTGATGGCACCAAACCTTGATTCCTTTGGCCGCGATCGGGCACTGTATCAAGAACATGCAAAACGTCGGATTGCAGAGCGGGAGGCCAGGAGGTGATTTTGAAAATACTTGCTGTGCGTTGTTAGGAAAGCTGGAATTGTTTTTAATCTAATTCAGAAATCAATGTTTGTTATCTAGGACTCGCCGTAGGCAAGCCAGAGAGCAAACCGGTAAGATGGCAGATCACCTTGAAGGCCTTTCCAGCGATGATGAGGAGACGTCCACAGACATTACTAATTTCAACCTGGAGAAAGGTTAGCCTTGTGTTCTCAAATGGGACTCATCAAATTGTTCTCTACTTGGTTGTGCTTTAAGTTTTTTTTCTTTTTACTGAAATTTTATATATATTTTTTTAATTTTTATGATTTATTTATCTTTTATGTGCATTGGTGTGAAGGTGTCAGATCCCCTGGAACTGGATTTTCAGACAGTTGTGAGCTGCCATGTGGGTGCTGGGAATGAACCAGGGTCCTCTGGAAGAGCAGTCAGTGCTCTTAACCACTGAGCCATTTCTCTAGCCCTGAAATTTTTTTTTAAAAAAGATACACTTCTTAGTTTTGTGTATGTCTGCTTTCCACCATGGGCTCGTGGAGGCCAGGGAAACTTGAAAGAATTGGTTCTCTCCTTCACTGTGTGAGTCTCCAGGGATCAGACTCAGGATACCAGGCTTGGTGGTCCCCTGAGCCATCGTGATAGCCTTTATGGGTTTTAATCATGAAATGAACAAAATTTTTGTGTCTTTTATAATAAGCGAGGTGCTGTTTTATATCCATTTGACAGTGTTGGAGGATTTAATTAATATTTGTATATAAACCATGTGTTGGAGCCAGTGGTGCGGCCTAGTGAAGCTGTCTACTTTGAAAGTTAAAGCTGGAGAGTGATGTGTTGTTTCAACCAAAAGTAGGGGTTGGTACAGCTGTATGCTAGGCATTTCTAAGTGTTTCCTAAGTAAATTTCTTTCCCACCATTGGCTGTAGTCATTTGGAATTATAGTGACTATGGGCTATTAGAGAACCTTATTAACTGGGACTCCCCTCCCGCCCCCTGCCATTGAAGTAGAACTTAAGGTCTCACACTGCGAGGCAAACAATCTATCACCCAGCTGTAGTCTCAGCCTTTAAAAATATATTGGGAGACAGTCTTTCTAAGTTACCCTGACTGGTCTTGAGCTTGTGATCCTCTTGCCTCGGCCTCTTAGTGTTACTAGGCTCGGTTTCTCTGACTAGTAGTTTTTGAAACAGGGCTTCATAGCCCAGGCTAGCGTTAGCTCATTTTGTGCCCATGCTGAGTTTCTGCTCATTACCTAGTCAGAAATGTTATTGAACTCTTGGTCTTCCTGCTTCCGCTTCCTAAATGCTGGGATTGCAGGTGTGCATCAGCACAGCTAGCTTGATTTGTGAAACATTTGAAAGGGTGATGATAGTCAGCATTGGTCCATCATCCAGATTGAAGATGCTGACATTTGATTGCTTTGCTATTTCTGTGTTTCCTTGTATGTCATTGCTTCTTTGGAAATGGCTCACTATAAACATGAGATTCTTTCCGCAAAGAATTGGAAACATGTTTCAGTTCTCCTGTCTGTATTTGGGTTCCGAGAATTGCCCCAGATACCAGGGCTTGGGAACAAGCTCTGTACTGTTGACCTCCCTCAACAGTGAAAACAGTACACTCCTGTGTGCTGTGAACACTTAAGTGGTATCCTGCTGCTTTCAAACTTTCTATTATTATTGCTATTATTCTAGATCGCATTTTGAAAGAATCCAGCAAAGTTTTTGAAGATGTCCTTGAGAGTTTCTATTCAATTGACTGCATTAAAGCACAGTTTGAAGCATGGCGTTCAAAATACTACACGTCCTATAAGGATGCTTACATTGGTCTCTGTTTGCCAAAATTGTTCAATCCTCTCATCAGACTGCAGCTCCTCACTTGGACTCCTCTTGAGGTGGGTGGTTTCTAACACTCGAAAAGCAATGTAACCTAAGATTTGGGTTACTTTTGCCTGAAAAGCTAGAGAGGGAAATAGACTGTATCTGAGGTTAATCTGTTTTTAAATAAAGTCTTTTTAATCACTCTTCCAAAACCTTTTTTTGTGGTGTCAGTTTATATAAAATTTTATTCTTAGCAAAAATTTACACTGGGTTATGAGCATGTCTTTTTATCCTAGGAGAACTTGGACCCTGTTGGGAAAGTACAATAGGACAGTTGTAAAATGAGGACTTGAGCTAAGTGATTATGAAAAGTAAAAGGTAAAATAGACTGCTAGGTGTGAAGGTGGAGTCAGGAGAGCCTGTTGTCCTGCTCTCAGGGAGATGAGAAAAACTGTTTTGCCCCTGGTTGTAGCTGTTATGATTGGGTCTTTCCAAGTTACTGACATAGTGACTTAAAAATAAAGAAAGGGGGGCTTTCAATGAAGTCTCTTAACAGCCTAAAGGAATGTGAGTTCCCGGAAAGTGCCCGATCTAGTGGAATTTGACCCTGTGCATGTGTGTTTCAGTAGACCGCAGAGGCTTAAGGCTGTGTGGATTGGAAGGACTTTTTAATTTAGCTTCTTCCTGTAGTCACAGCTTTTAACTTTCTTGGACTTCTTGAACACCTTTTGCTTTCCCAACTTCACAGAACTGCTGTGTCCCATGTAGGACCCAGCCCTCTGCATGTGCTGTCCTGAACTAGCGGTTTGCTTCATCTGCATCTTTTCTTTAATGATCATGGTCCTGTGCCCTTCTGCCTAATCTGTAAATAGTATTTCAAATATTTTTTGTATGTTTTGCTTGCTTGTTACAGCTGAAGGGTAACTCTAACGTGACTGAAAGTAGAAGTAGAAATTGTTTTAAATGTTTGAAAAATCTTTTTTTATGTGTTTTAGGCAAAATGCTGTGACTTTGAATATATGCTGTGGTTTGAGTCTCTGCTCTTCTATGGTTGTGAAGAACGAGAACAAGAGAAGGACGATGTTGATGTTGCTCTGTTGCCCACCATTGTGGAGAAGGTGATTCTTCCCAAGCTGACAGGTAGATACCAGGAGGGACCTCGTTGTACTAGGTTTCTCAGACAAACTTCGAGTTGTGTGTCCAGTGACCATTTCATCGTAAACGTTACACAATCGATGTTAGGTTTCAGTTAACTGACTGGCCCAGGGATTTTTAACGATAAAAAATTCTTAGTCTGAGGTTTGAAGACCATTTTGAGAGCAATAGTTGATCAATAGGTTGGTTCCAGAGACTCAAGATTGCTTGATACTGAACTGAACATTTTGGAGGAGTCATATACATTTGTTTTGTTCATATTCTTGGAAGGTGAGAAATCACTGTTACAGAAACCTGTATAACTGTCGAGAGATTTGCAGGTGAAGCTGTAAGTTTTAAAATTATTTAACAAAATTAAAAATAAAATTGGAGTTTAATTAGAAATTTTGGTTGTCTGGGATACGAGAGAGCACAAAAGTAAATGATGGCATTTATGACCCTTTAAAGGACTGTCTGATGTTAAGGCAGGCTGCAGTTTAACATCCGTCTCCTTTCCCTGCAGTGATCGCTGAAAACATGTGGGATCCTTTTTCTACAACACAGACTTCAAGAATGGTTGGAATCACACTAAAATTGATAAATGGCTATCCTTCAGTAGTCAATGCAGAAAATAAAAACACACAGGTACTTTACTTCCTATGCTTGGGAAAGGTTTTATTTTTTGTTTTGTTTTGTTTTGTTTTTTTATTTTTTGAAAATGGACCAGAGTTTAAGAGAATGAATGGTTATTCGGAATCAAACAGGAATCTGGATTCTCCCAGTTGGGTAATCCGGGCTGTTAAAGCCTGGAATATATACAACTAAGCTGCTAGTTTTCAGTTGTACAAATCTCTATGGAAGAAAGATACAATTAGTCTATCCCCAGCACAGCCCACTTCCAGTTCCACCGGTCAGGCATTCCTGTAAAAACTGTACTGTGGAGAAGAATTGAAAGTAATACCACTAGATTAGTCCATGATTGATGATTGAAACTTAAATCGTATAAACAGAATGGCCTGATACTCTTACATGTAAAATTTCTCTCACTGAGCTGTCTGGAAAAGACTTTCATCATTGTTGAATTTTGACTAACCTCATTTTGAAAATGATCTATGTTGATTTTTAAATCTTTATATAGATTTGGAGTTTAAAAATTTGTAAATACCTTTATTGATTAGTAATTTTGTTGAGAGGTTGTTATCTGGTAGAGTTGTAAGTATTAAAATTATTTGACATCATTCAAATATAATTTTTTTAACTCTGTAGGTATACCTTAAAGCACTTTTATTGAGGATGAGAAGAACTTTAGATGATGATGTATTTATGCCCTTATATCCTAAAAAGTAAGTAATTCATATGAACATTAAGCATAACATTCCATGTTTCCTTTCAGAGTCTAAGCTTCCAGAAAAGGAAATGTAGCTTGAAATACAAACTTTACTTATGTAGTAGAGACTGGAGGGATTGTGTAGAGACTGGAGGAATTGATCTTCTGAACAGAATAAAGAAAATAATGCTCTTTGTTCTTTCTTAGTATCTCAAAATTCAGTTTTTTGGTTTGGGTTCTGCCTTAGACTCTTCCTCTCTTTTTATTAAATCCACCTCTGTCCTCTGATTTTTCCTGTCCTCTCTCATTTCTCTCTACCCCTCTCCTCTCTATTCACCTCCTTCTTCCTCTCTATCCTCTCTCGCTACCCCTGAACCTCTCTCCTCTCTATCCCTGTCCCTCTCTCCTTCCTCTCGCTATTCCTGTCCCTTTCTTTCTCCCTCTTTATATTCCTTCCATGTGTTTCTTCTGGGATGAATGCTAAACACTCTGTCCTAATCCTCACCTGAGTTCTGATCTTGTTTATTTGTGGACATTCTTGTTGATAGGAATGAAACAGCATTTACTTAAACAATATTTGATTGTGTTTTATTTATCTTTTAGTGTCTTAGAAAATAAAAATTCTGGGCCTTACTTATTTTTTCAACGTCAATTTTGGTCTTCTGTCAAGGTATGTATGTATTCATAGACCATCTAAAATTTATTATTTTTTGGACTTCATGTAGCATATTTTGAAAGACTTTTTGTTTTTTAACTCTGTAGGCTTATATTGGTGTGGTAGTATACACACACCTTCATCTTACAACCGAATATTATTCTAACAGTTTATTTCAGTTTGATGTTTTCACAGGAAAATTTGAAAGGGAGGCCCAGGCTATCCCACAGGCTGCTTAACTAAGCCACAGCACTGAACTCACAGAGAGATGTGTTCAGCAGCTAGAGCACCAGCTCCCTCTTGGGTTTCTGGGGATAGCACTGGCCAAGACAGACGCCTTTCTAGCGTACTGTACACTCGGCAGGTAGATAGCAGACAGATTATACCAGCTGTGGTGGTATAGATAGATGAGGGTCCCCGAGGGAGCTCAGATGGGCAACTCTAACATTGTGGTAGTAGGGTGGAAGTGACCCTGAGGATTAAGTAGAGTCCAAGTAAAGAGAGTGGGCTTTGATTAGGATTGAAACAAGTACCGGACGGCAGGATGAGGGAGCAGTAGAGTCGTGTGTCCTGGAGGTCATAAGAAGCCATCAGATTCTGTCTCTGTTTTTCCTTGGGCTAATACACACATTTGGCTTTCAGTACACAGTTTTGTGAGTTTTCATAAATATAGTTGTCATCACTACCATGATGAAAGACATCTTCATAAACTTCCCCTTCCTGTTTGTGTTCTGTGGTTTTCTTTGCAAGAATATATTATCAGTGGAAGTCTACGGTAGGAACTTCTGAGTCTGGCTCTCCTTGAGTGTTTGAGATTCACTTGCATTCTGTGTTATCAGTAGTTCGCTGCTTTTTACTGCTGGGTGGGATTCTGTAAGGTGTAAGAGTTGAGCTCTTGTTTCTCTTTAGTTCGTTTCCTAATGAGGAGGAGTTGAGATGATTTCCAGTTGGAGTAATTAGGGATAGAGAGGAAAAAGCAGGAGAGGCTGTTTGTGTTCACACCAACAGCACGTGCAGAGGTTCTCTTTACTCCTTACTCTGCATTTTCTACATTTCTTGGTGGTTTTGAGCCTGAGTCATGTATTTAGCTTGCCTTCTGTGTGTTCTTAGGTATTTACTCATGTTTTAAGTTGACTGTTTTCTTCTTATTGAACTTAAGAGTTCTGTGTTCTGGAAGTAACATAGAGTGATGATTTTAAACTTTTGTCTCTGCTTTGTCTTTTAACTTTTCATTCAAGTATTCCAAATTTGGAAGTTCTGGTGGGTTTTTCTTGTTGCTGACTTGGGGTCTCCTGTAGCCCAGGCCTATTTCAGACGACCTTGAACTCCTATCTTCTCACCTTAGTGCTAGAGTTGAGGCTGTACCGCTTGTGATGATGCTGTGCACTGGGCCTTGGACCAGGTGTGTGCCACCTGACCAAATTCTCAGCACCACAAGCTCTAATTTGTCTCCTTCTGTTAAGGTTGTTTTAGAAGTCATACTTAACGATGAACTTCTTCTGACCTGAGATTTCAGCTTAGGTTTTGCATGTAGCTCTGTCATCTGTTTCCATTTGTAGTTTAGGGGCTGGAGAGGCGGCTCAGTGCTTAAGAGCACAAAGGACCCAGACTCTCACATAGTGGTTCACAGCCACCTGTAATTCCTATTCAAGGGATGGAACACCCTTCTCTGTTCTCCTTGGGCACTGCACAGATGTGCAAACATGCATGCAGGAAGAACATCCATATACATAAAATCCGTATTTAGATGTAAGACCTGGATTAGATCCCTTTGTTCCAGAGCTGTGTGGTGGGAAGATAAGCCTCTCTCCATTGAGTTTACCTTAGCTGAAAGTTGGTTGAGTGTAGGTATGAGTTGTAGTTTTTAGTATGGAAAGGACAAACACATGGCCACCTCTAAGATGACTTGCTGTATAGATCTTAAGTGTTGAAGTAGGTTGAGGATGGTGATCATGAAAATTAGAACTCTTTTTACTGTCTGTTTATTATGCCACATCCTTTATATTGAAACCTCAGAATCTCTGTCAAGTAGACACCATCACTGTCAGGGAGGCACAGTCTGAACTGCAGTGCCATTCCATTGGTAAGACAAGTTGTGAATCTCATTCAAGCCAGCTTGTCTGAATGGCTCATCCAAATAGGGTTCTGCAAGAGAATTAATTTTGAATACCCTCAAGCCTCCATTGTTTGTAATGAGTTTTCCCTTAAATAGGACTAGGTTTTTTGCTCTTTTTTTTCCTTAAGAAAATTGAATGGAGATATTTGGGTCATTTCTGTAGGTTTGTTTCTGTTATAGAGCTCTACTTGAGCAAAGGTACACTAGTATGCCTGCTGTGATCACTCGAGTAACTGTGGAGTGTAGAAAGGGGGAATAGCTTAAATTTGTGGAGTTAGAGAAGCAGAAAGGTTGGATGGAGGTGGAGTCAAATTACTTGACAAAGAGGCCAAGAATGAGCAATGTGTGCTTCTGGCCTGGATGGTTGGAACATAATGCCACCATTTACTAAACAGACATACTGGGAAATAGACCTTATGATGGATGGGCTGAGGCCTCCATGTCATGACAGTGTCCTTCATTTGAGACATACATGTCCAGAGAGTGTGCCTATGCAGACTGGGAGATTTGTCAGCAGTGCCAAGCTAGAGTCAGAGATGAGGTCCTGCTCAGGGCCTGGGTACTGGTTGGTCTGGGCAATAGCATTGCCTGAGTACTTTCTGCACCGACTGGAAGTGTTTTCTCTGTGTGTTGACCAGCATGACATCCAGTAGCTACACACTGACATTCATGCTTTAGCTAAAATTTGAAATTCAAGAATTCTTTTACTGTAGGAAATATTTAGGTACTTCAGAAGTGTTTATTAATACTGTGTCAAGGCATCCATCTGGTATTTTACTATGTAACTAATTTACTTTGTAGTTTATAATAACTGTATGATATTACCTCTCAATTTCTTTCTTTATTTTATATTTTTTTTTAGCTATTGGGAAATTTCCTTCAGTGGTATGGCATTTTCTCAAACAAAACTCTTCAGGAGTTGTCAATAGATGGCTTGTTAAATAGATACATTCTCATGGCTTTTCAGAATTCAGAATATGGAGATGACAGCATCAAAAAAGCCCAAAATGTAAGTTGAATAACGCATATTGTAGTTTTAGAGCATGTACATCAAAGCAGATTCACTTTTCTTTGTTTGAAGAATAAGATTTTTGTAAAACTTATGTTGACAATTGGAATTGCTACAAAGTTAGCATTTAAACTACCCAGGTAGTCCCAAATGTGTTACATTTTTTTTAACCCAAAAAAAGATAATGTATCTTAACCAAGAGGCCAAGAGATGATACATTAAAAGTATATCTGTCTATATATATGGTTTTGTGAATGTTTTGTAGATATCAATTAAACTTTTATTTTAGAAGTAATTTTCTTCATGGTTGATGGTTTTGAGCAGTTTAGAATAACTGCTTTTTTTTTGCTCTCACTTAAATAATTTTAACATTGGGTTTTCTACTTACAGTCATAGGTTACACAATGTGATGGTTTTAAAATACATATTTGTAATAACCGTTAACAGTTAATCACTAAATCAATATAAATTTATTAGTACCAGTAATTTTTTTAACCTCTTAATAAATCCCAGTACTGACAGGTAGCCTTTGAAAATACTTGTGTATGTTTCCTGTAAAACTGAATGTTACTCCTCATGTGGACATTTTACTGTTGGCTAATCTTAGTGACCTATTCCAGTGTGCATTAAGTAAGACAGCTTCACTGGAAGAAGAAATACCCAGCTTATCATTAAGAAGTCTTTAAGTCAGGAAGAATGCTTCCTTCTCTTTGACCTTTACAACCTTACATCTCTGAAGTCCAGTCATTTGTAGTGTGCTTGTGGTGTAGTTTGTCTCAGCTCTGCGTTATATTCAGGTTCTCCATTCCCTGAATGTGGTTACTCTTAGAAGGAAACTTCTGCAACTGCGCAACGTGTCCCCACTCTTTCATTTGTTAAACTTTCATTTTATTTTTTGTGTCTTTCACATCATGCTTTCTGATCCCACCCATCCCCCTCCCCAATAAAACAAAATAAAATTTGATAGTTCAAAGAGGGGAAGAAGGGGAAAATCTCATGGAAGCTGCAGTGTGACACAGTGAGTCATGCAGTAAACCCCTTTATCCACACGTTTGCATGGGGAGGGGGCGTGTCGGTCCTGGGGTCCAGGGCTACAGGATCTGCACAACACTGGGCAGCAATGGGATGTCCCCAGTGAGCACCCAGTGTCCATGGTGTAGCAGAAACCATTGATTCTTTATGATGAACATGTCCCCTTTTTTTTTAAGAGAGTGCTTTCTTTCTGGAATGAGATGTTTTGGCTCACTGTATATCTGTTGTATCCCTGGGATAAGTCATATCTTTAGTAACCCTTGGTTTTTATAGTGGCTAGCCTTCTTTACCTGTTTGGATAACAGCTGCCCAGAGTAAACTGTCTTCTGGAGGAAATCAGTCCCATATTTCTTAAGCCTTGGCACTAAGGCCAGAACGTCACAATTCCTTGTTCACTGGGTTAAGGCTCTGCTGTGGACCCTATCTCTGGTGCAGATAGTCTTAATCTTACTTTGGGTAACTAGGTTCCTACAACCAACATGGATACTGCTTACTGAAGTTTTCCCGAAGGAAGAGGTTATAGTACCGTATCTATACATGTGTTTTTACATGGGAAACATGGTTTGCTTAAAGTCACATTGATAACTGAAAAAATATAGGCAACCAGGTATCAACTTTATGTCTGTTTAAATACTTGGCAAACTATCTTGTTTGGAGTGTCTGATGCATTGTAAAAAAATCAGATGTTGGTTTAGTTAATGTAGGAGGTCAGGTTTTTAAAGAGCTACCTTATGTAATAGTAAAGATTAACCATTATTTAATTTTAGTTTTTGGACATTTTCATCCTGTTTTAACTATTTTATTTGCATCTTCTACATAGGTAATCAACTGTTTCCCTAAGCAGTGGTTTGTGAATCTGAAAGGAGAAAGAACTATTTCTCAGTTAGAAAATTTTTGCCGATATCTTGTACATTTAGCAGATACAATTTACAGGAACAGTATTGGGTGCTCTGATGTGGAAAAAAGAAATGCAAGGTAATTATTTTTTCAATTAATGAAATGAATCAAATTTCTTTAGTCACATTTAATATTAATCAAGAATAATCATTTTAAATTGTTTCTTAATTTATTGTTTAAACAATTTCATTACATTATGTATGTATATATAGGATGTACTCTGATCATATTTTCTTAAATTGTACATGTACTATTACAAACCTACCAAAAACTTCTTATTTGTATAATTTTTGTCTTTTTTTTTCAGTACATTAAATTTGGAAGCTTTTAGAGTAAACTTACAGTAAGAGTCATGCCTGAGGCAGTAGATAAACTTGTATTTTTGTCTCCTGTGAAGAAGTGAATAGATTGAGAGTTTTAGGATGTAGTGATCTTTAGCCTTTGAGGTCTCGTTCTGTAGACATAAAGCCTGGGAAGAGCGCATGGCCACTGAGATGTGGACTGTTAAAATTGCGTATTTTAGAGCCTGATGCTCTCCTGATCCATATTATGGACTAAAGACCATTACATGATTGTTTTGAGAACAGCTTATGTTTAATTTTCTTGAAAAATTTGTAGGACACAGGTGTGAACCTCAGCTTGTTAGGAGGCTGATGCAGGAGAGTGTCAGTTCAAGTCCTGCTGGGGCTTCAGAGTGAGCTCAGGGCTAGCCTGAGCTCTTTGTAAGCGCTGCTACAGCTGGAGCTTGTTAGACATAGGTTCTGTTTTCTCTGTGTCCTGGAGGGAAGCTTGGAGATAAGCACTTCAACATCCTTTCAAGAATTTGGATGTTAATATCTCAGAGTCTTTTCATAGTAAGGTGGACTGACTTAAGGCAGGACTGATAAGGGAAACAGGCTTTATTGACTGAATTTTAAAGGAGTTGAAGTTTGGCTTTTACTCAACTGATGATGAGGAGAAATGATTTTCTGTTTAAGCTGTACTCCACAAGAGCTGGAACTCTGGCTGGGAAGCAGAGAGACGGATGAATCTCCAAAGGGGCTTGGGATTATAACTGTTTTTTTTTTCCTAGATATTGATGAAAATCATTTATCAAAACAAAATTGTTTCTGTTCAAAATGAATTTCTTGTCTCTGGGCCAGTTATTTAAACAAGGGTTTTTTTGTTTTGTTTTGGTTTTTGGTTTTTTTTTTTTTTTTTTTTTTTTTTTTTTTTTTTTTGCTTTTTTGTCGTTGTTGTTGTTTGTTTTTTGTTTTTCGAGACAGGGTTTCTCTGTAGCTTTGGAGCCTGTCCTGGAACTAGCTCTTGTAGACCAGGCTGGCCTTGAATTCACAGAGACCGGCCTGCCTCTGCCTCCCGGGTGCTGGGATTAAAAGTGTGCGCCACTACTGCCTGTCAATAAGTTTTATTTAAATTAATAACAGATTTAAATTTTTTTCTATTTATTTGTTTTGTTTTGAGAGTGGTATACACACTACTGTGAAGCACGCATGGAGGGCAGAGGACAGTTTCTAGGATTTGGCTCTTTGGCTCTTTTCTTCCACAGTGTGAGATTGGAGATGGACTCTGTATTAGGTTTGGTGGGAAGCATCTTTATAGTGAGCCGTCTTGCCAGCCCTACAGATGTTTTAAAACATGCTGTAGCTTGCTTATCTTATTCTCAATATTTTAAGATGTATACCTGGAAAAGTTGTTTTGCATATTGTTTAAGGTAGACGTAAAATCAAGAACAGATTTTTATCTCAATATAATGTAATTTTTAAATATTTTTTTCTCTTTTAGAGAAAACATAAAACAGATAGTAAAACTTCTTGCAAGTGTTCGGGCTTTGGATCATGCTGTGTCTGTTGCAAGTGACCACAATGTGAAAGAACTCAAGTCTCTGGTGGAAGGAAAATAGCTCGATGAGACCCAAGTGTTTGCTTTGCCCATTCCCAGTGTGTAAATTTGTATATATGTAAAGTTTCTTAAACTGTAAAATACTGATTCTTGTTTAAATACAAAAACATTATATTACTACTGTGTCCTTAAATGTGATTTCTTCAGAATGAAAGGAATTCAGATTATTTCTAGGAGTCTTTGAATGTTTTCCTTACTGCCTGTCATATTTTGTTTATTGGAGTATTTTGTATCATCACTAAATTAACTTCATTTAAGTGTCCTCTATAAATGACATGTGTGCAATGTAAATTGTGTAATGCATACATATATATGTATATATTTATACTGCCATGGGTTTTCATGCTGGAAATTTGTGGTGTTTGGTGTTTTTCTACAGAGGAAGCTTTTTAACAGCAGAACATTACCCAGTAGTGGTCGTCTTAGGGAACTGCTGCACTGCTTCACCAGAAGGGCTGGCAGGTGATGACCCTCACCCCCACTTTAGCATTATTGTCACTTGTAGCTGTACTGCCTTAAAATGAGAGCTAAGTTACAGACGTTGTCATTGAGTGAGTGTGAACTTCTGTGAATCGGCCTTGGAGGCAAATGTGGGTTTAATATGAGCTCTAGGTGATATGTGCAATAGAGTTTGGGGTGGGAGGAACATCAGTTTAGTTTCTGACAATAAGCCCACAAACTAAGTGCATGGTTTAGGCTGACTGTCCTTTCTCATTCGTGATTTTACTCCCTATCCAGCTTACAGATACAGATATAGTCTATCATATTTTAAATCCCATATATGTGAGTTATATATGCAATAAAGAATATGCCTTGCTGATTAGACACACCCAGGCAATTTACTATCGGTGGTCTTCTGTAATGTTTATACCACATTGTAAATACTCAGAGAAACTTGTTTTAAAGTTAATGCTTTCTGATTCTGTGGTTTTTCAAAAGAGGAACTTTTTGGAAATTAAGGACTATTGTTTGATAATTATATGTATAATTAAGCTTTAGCCAAGCATTAAATTAATTTTTAAATACATCCTTCGTTGTATTTTGCTGGTGACTAAGTTTAGAGTATTCCAGATGATTCATATAGTGAGACCGTTCACAGTCTAGTGCCTACTCTTAAAGCAAATAATTCCACAGGACAGTGTTGTGCCCTCCTTCCTCCCTCAGTTTGTCTGCTTGTAGGAGCATGTCCTAACTTTACATGGTCATTCTGGGGGAATTTTTTGTTAGGCTTTGTGGGCTCCTAAATGGAATTAAACTTTAAAACATTCATTCTCAATGTCAGTGGATTAAAACAAACATAAATAGGTATTTGATCCTTAAACTATGTGTTTCCAAGCCTGTCACATAAATCATTCTTTCTGTATGTTTTTAATAACTCTTAAAATAAACGCTGAGACTTCCTATCCTAGCTTTTAGTTACAGCCTTGAACACTATCCCAAGACTCTGGAATGTAGCACAGAACTGTGTGTTTAAAAAATTGATCTTTATGTTTAAACCAGAAATTTTTCACTCCTTAGCAAGTAATGAACACTAAAAAGGAATTCTCAGTTGCTAGTTGCTATATCATTGTCACATACTACTTGTATATCTTAAAACAATTATTCTTGAATGCTGAAGGCCCGAAATTGGAAATAAGTGTCAACAGGACTCTTGTGTCCTATCAAGGTTCTTACTCTTGGCTTGTCATAATTAGACAGTCTGCCGTTTGTCTTCATGTCACTTCATGAGTATCTGACTCCCCTCTGCCTCCTTTGTAAGGGTACTTGCATTTCATATAGATTTCCAGCATATACATAGTAATCTATTGGACATCAGAAACCACCTCAAGACTCCTTTGCCAAGTCTACCTCCTTATTTGCTGGCTTCAAGCATCAGGGTGTGAATATTTTGAGATGGTTTGTCACAAGCCTCACTCACTATTCATTTTCTAAGCCAAGAAGGCAGTGGCTTCTCTGCAAACCATCAGACCAAGTCTATACCACTGAAGTATTTTAAGTTAGCCTCTCATAAAGACCATATTTCACTAAAAATGTGTACAGCTATTTGGAAATGCTGTAACAAAGTAATAAATAGGAAGAGGACAATAAGAAGGACTTTAAAAGTCACTGGTATGTTTTTCAAGTCCTGGACTTAGTTTATGATTAAAAATTTATTTTAAAAGGACTTGGATAAGCTTTGACTTAAGACTAGAAATGTATCCTGTTTCCTCCAGTTTTATTTGAAGAAATTGCAACCTAGAAGTTCAAATCTCCACTTCTTTAGTTCAAAAATAAACCAAGGCATTCCTTAGAAAGAGCCAGGGGTTATGGTATAGTCTCAGATTCTTAAGTGAAGAGATTGATTATAGCTCCACTTAACTGTGATTTCAGGCGTCATAAAACGGTACATTGCTGGGGCTGGGGAATCCCTCCGTTTGTAGAATGCCTGCCTGGAATGCATGAAGTACTGGGTTCAGTCCTTGTCACCACATAAACCAGGCATGGTGACACACCGGCCATGACTTTGACTCTTGGTCTCAGCAAAGGTACCTGCAAGGTACAACTCGATAGGTCGTTACGTCATATTCAGGCGTCACGTTCTCACCCCCCATCCTTCGTGTGTAGTTACATCATATACAGGCGTCACGTTCTCACCCCTTCCATTTCTTTAAAGGACTGCCCCCAGCTGAAATGAACACGTCTTGAGAGGAAAATGACTAACCACAGTCCACTCCACAACAAAAAGCAAAAGTTTTTCTAAGGGGACTAAGTGAAAAGATCTCAGAACTAAATCCAAGTGTGTTTCTCCTTGAGTAGAGTGGCTTATGTTTAGTATTTGAAACCAGAGTTGAATTTGTCTTCGATAAGATGGAGAAATGTTGAGTCACATGATAGAGTCCGTTAGAGGAACTGATTTTGTGCAACGCATCATATTGTGCTTTTAGGGGGAAAACAGCAAAAAAGGGGAAGAGGCTAGAAAAAGCAAAGGCAAACAGAAACATGAATTCTGGGTTCCTCGGGTTGTCAATTCTTTCCTAAAGCCCTATTAACTACATCTTTCCTCCATTCTTGTCTCTGAAATAGAAACAGAATAGAATAATTCTGCCGAACACAAATCATAGGCATGATGGGTTGAGAAAAAGAAACGGTATGGAACAGTGTGATCCCCTTAATTATAAAATTCCACGGTTGGCATATCAGTACATCACTAAGTGACAGCCATGTTTTGTTTAGCAGCCTTGAGCTGGCTGCTGACTCGCTCTCTTCCACAGCCTGAAGCTCCCGGAAGTCACTCCCAACAGTCTTCAGCGGTCTCCCGGGTCTGACACCATGGACAGCTCTCGGGGCGCCAGCCCGCCCGCGCGGCTGGCAGACCGTGTCCAGCCCTCCCCGGTCGGTCGGGCCCGCGGAGGCGGCAGGGGGTGATCCGATGCCCGGCTCGGGCCCCGGCAGCTCTCCCGGAGCCCCTCCCTGCCGTCCGTGGGGAGGACCGGCGAGCTCGCAGGACTCCACGCGAGGAGGCCGGATCCTCTGCCGCTTTCCCTGGACGTACGACCCGTCCGCTCCTGCGTTGACCAAGGCGTCACGGACTCAGGTCACGGGAACTGCGGAACCCGAGTGGCTCACAGGCGTCGGACCCGGGCGAACGGCCCCGCGTGGGCGGAAACGGCTCCTCCCCTTCACCCTTAGGGGCGGACCTTCCGCCCCCGGCAGCGGCGCAATGCGGAAGAGCTGGGCCTGCTGGAGCGGAAGTGACGCCACCGGCGGCTGTAGCGGCGGCGGCTGCGGTAGAAGGAGGAGGAGGAGCCGGAGGA